GCAGCTTTTTTCTTCGATGATAATCTCTGGTAGCGAGAAGTTCAAATAGCGGTGGAAGACAATCCAGAAAATTAATTTCTAGGAGGCTCCGATCCAGTGTTTATGAAAATGGCAAGGATCCAAGCAGTTCCCAGTCCATTGTTCATGAAAATGGCAAGGATCCAAGCAGTTCCCAGTCCAGTGTTGGCGAAGATGGCGAGTCGAGCTAAGGCAGAAACAAGTCCAAAAAAATTAATTTTCAGGTGTTTCTTGTCCAATGCCTCCCATTCTTGATTCCTTTGTCTTCATTCCTTTCTAGTGAAAAATGCAAAGTAAAGTTAAAAATATGTGCATACATATATTAAAGTTGAAGATTAGGATTACCTGTAGTCTTGCCCTCAGCTTGATTGAAGATGCAGAAGAGTGAATGGCTGGCTGAAGATGCAGAAGAGTGAATGGCTGGCTGAAGATGCAGAAGAATGAATGCATATTTATAGTGTTGTTGAGTGATATGGTTCACGAATTACATGTGGCCTGTAGCTATCTGTAGCGTAGCGTGCGTCGTTTGAGTTGGCTTGAAGCATCTTAATTCAGTTTGAGAAAGTCATCTGATCATATTTGAAGGAGATATATCAGCATGTCAAGGATATCTTCATGAACGAACTTGAGCAGTGATTTTAGTGAATTTAATTGGTCATGTAGTGAAAGGTGAATTTAATTGGAGTTGTTTCCTTTAGTTCATACACGGAAGTCCAAATGGTGAAGATTAGGAAAAGTGCATGAGTGGCCCAACATTATTATTTGCAAGGTGTCAAGACTTTCTAATCTTTGCGGTCCATGACACGATTAGTAAGTCTCGAAAGGGAAATTTGTTAGCATTGAGAAAATTCAATAGTTATGCTGTGCAACCGAATGCACCATGCGCATGGTGCATACGATGCAAAATGACGTCGTTTTGACTAAAAATGTGTGTCCCACTTTAAAAAAAATTCAGGTTCGATTCTCGGCAATAGCATTATTGTGGATATATAGTTATGAATTTCTGGATATATAGTTATGAATTTCTGGATATATAGTTATGAATTTATGGATATTTAGTTCATTCATTGCGGATATTTAGTTCATTCATTGTAGATATTTACTTCATTCATTCACTGTGGATATATAGTTATGAATTTATGGATATATAGTTATGAATTTCTGGATATATAGTTATGAATTTCTGGATAGAGTTAATACCGTTTGAGGTCCTCCGAGTATAGTGGTTTTGCCACGTTTAGTCCTAAACTTTCAAATTGACCATCTGTGGTCCTTCGACTTTCAAATTTAACCATTTGTGGTCCAAGTTAACCACTCATGGTCCTTCGAGTTTCAAAACATAACCAGTTGTGATCCTCTTGAAAGGACCATGGTTGGTTAAAATTTAATAATTGAAGGACCATGAGTGGTTAACTTGGACCACAAATGGTTAAATTTGAAAGTCGAAGGACCATATATGGTCAATTTGAAAGTTTAGGACTAAATATGGCAAAACCATTATACTCGGAGGACCTCAGATGGTATTACCTATTTCTGGATATATAATTATGAATTTATGGATATTTAGTTCATTCATTGTGGATATTTAGTTCAATCATTGTGGATATTTAGTTCATTCATTGTGGATTTTTACTTCATTCATTCACTGTGGATATATAGTCATGAATTTGTGGATATATAGTTATGAATTTATGGATATATAAAAATGATATTGTCAGGAATCGAACTTGATTGTTTTTTTATGTGGGACGCGTGTTTTTTAACCAAAACGAATTCATTCATTCACTGTGGATATATAGTTATGAATTTTTGGATATATAGTTATGAATTTATGGATATATAAAAATGTTATTGTCGGGAATCGAACCTGATTTCTTTTTTAAGTGGGACGCGCGTTTTTTAACCAAAACGACGTCGTTTTGCATCGTATGCACCATGCGCATGGTGCATTCGGTTGCATAGCATAATTTGCGGAGAAAATTTAATTGGACTAATTTATGTTAAGAATTGGGCTTCGGTTGATAATTAATTATTTTAATTAAGCTAATTGGACTAATATTTATTTAATTGGGTTAATTAAATGGGTCATTAAATATTTAATTGGTTTAATTACTTAATTAAATGTAATTGAATGTTGGATTGTTCGGCCCAAGTTGGTGGAATATTTAATTGAGTTGGACCAGGCTGCATGGATTAATTGAGTTGCCTAATTAGCAGGTTTGACTTGGTCTTGGCCCATCAAAATTATATGTGGATTATATGATTTTGAGGAAATGGTATTATTTAAAAGTTGATGAAATGATGAACCTGGACGCAATGATGTCCCAATACATTCCTTAATTTAATTAAAATAATTAAATTAAATTAGGAATTATGAGTTGGTTAGAGATTTCTTCTCTACACTCACCACTATAATAGTGGTTTCATTTTCCAAAGAATGAGCTCTGAAAATCTGCATACTCCAGCTCTGCCGAAATCTTGCCAGGATATCGTTTGGAACACGCCCGCAGTTGTACTGCGTATATTGCACTGAGGAATACGCCATTTGAACACCGGAAGCCCTTTTTTGAAGATCAAGCTGCACACCGGAAGCCCTTTTTTGAAGATCAAGCTGCATATTAGCCCTTCATTGAGGAACAAGCTACTAACTCCGGAGGCTCTTCAGTAAGGAACTACTTCCAGTTCGGTACACTCCCGAACTCGGCATACTTCCAGTTCGGCACACTCCCGGACTCAGCACACTCCCGAACTCGGCATACTCCCGAACTCGGCATACTTCCAGTTCAGCATACTCTGAACCCGGCATACTTTCGACAAGGAACTACTTCAAGTTCGGCATACGCTGAACTCGACACACTTCCAATTCGGCATATTCCGAATTTGGCACACTTCTAATAGGCATACTTGTAGTAGAGAATCAGAGGACTTCTCCTATACAGAGATTGTACTCATTCCCTTTTGATATATACTTGATACTTCATTGTAACCGATACTTTGAATTTTGAATCTATACAATTCAAGTTTTTCGCGTTTACAAACGCTAGTCTAAATATTTAGTCTAAAAGCGATAATTTAAATAAATACTACTTTTGGTTTAAATTTCTATAATTCTTCTTAATTCTCTTTTTGGTAGCATTGTCATTGTCTTCATCTTCAGTACATGTCATTTTTTTTTCTTTTTTTTTGTTAATTATTGACAGTGTGTCACGTGGTGGTAGCATAGAGGGATTTATCATGCAATGAGGTTATTATGGTGTAGGAAGCTTTAGATTTGTCTTGCTGTGTATATAACAGGAATCTTAAGAAGATTAAAACGAAAAAAAAGAAACTTAACCTAATATTTTTTAATGCAAGAAAACCAAATGATTTTCAAAGTTCTTGATTTATATATTGGATGCTCAACTTTAAATGCTACATATTTAGCCAGGCTAATTATTTGATGTTAAATTTTATATTATATTTTTCAAATATAGTTTAACATATTTGTAGTATATGTTTAATAATTATGCCAACTTTAATTGGGATGAGGTTCGAACCTAAGACCTTTCTTATAGAAATTAATGAGTAAGTTAAGAATAATCAATAATTATTGTTTGGACCATGGTCCACACAAGTTGTGTAGACCATATTTTGTAACTGTAAAATAATGTACATTCAGTATAAAAATAATGTACATTCAGTACAAAAATAATGTACATTATATTCAGGGGATGTACATTATTTTTGTACTGAGTGTACATTATATTGTATAATGTATATTCAGTACAAAAATAATATACATTCAATACAAAAATAATGTACTTTTTGTTATGGTCCACATGGACAATAATTTGCCAAGAATAATAAATAGTTAAATTTTTTTGAGCCCTTACAAACCAAAATGGCCCAGGATCAATTTTGAAGAAACTAAAGACTCTATTAATTGAAGAATTTATTAAATGACACCACAAGTTAAATGCTTTTGTTCTAATAAATTCCTTAATAATGTTACATTAATATGTTGCACAACCAAATGTCCAATAATTTGAACTTATGAATTTATGAGAACAAATAAGATTAATACTTGCGGAATATTTTGGACTTGTTGTTCGACATACAATCCAATTTGAGATATGAAAACAATAATCTCTAGTGGAGTATCTTAATGATCTTTTCCTACACTAATTAAGATATTCTGCGGAATTAATAAAATGAACTTAATAATATATACTCATAATTGATTTGACCAACTAAATAACGAAGATTTAATTAAAGTCCAACTAAATAATGAAAATATAATTTTGCAACCAGTTGAAATTCAAAATACATCTCCCAAAATCAAGTTAGAACTTGACTCAAAAGATACATTTTATTATTATTGGAATTCAAAAGAGGTATGTAAAATTACATGAATCCCCACTAGTTGAAATTCAAAATACATCTCCCCAAATCAAGTTAGAACTTGACTCAAAAGATACATTTTATTATTATTGGAATTCAAAAGAGGCATGTAAAATTACATAACTTACTATAATTAGTCTGAAGAATCGTGGATCAATTATTAAAAAATGGCTAAATTTTAGAAAGTGACTAAATACATGTTTTGACAATGCAAACCATTAAACGAATTATAATTGAGCTAAATTTATAAATTCTAAAAAATTGTGATAAAATTATTATCTAATGGGTTGGAAGAATATTATGTTACTAAAGTTTATACTAACAAAATTTAAAATTATTTAAGAGAGAAAATAATATAATAGAGGGTAAATAAAGAAAATTATTTAAAAAAAATACTAAAATCAAAATAATATGAACCATTCATTTTGAGAGACAATTACAATATGGTTTGCTGTATCAGCTGGTTCCATTATATTATTAGAGTGTAAACTGAACTAAAATGTCTGTTTTCATGTGATTTTATTTATTTATTTTTTTAAAGGGAAATAGTAGCTTTAATTTAATCACACAATAGGAGACAAATGGAAACGAGGCAATTCAATAAAGAATCAAAATTTAAACTTTATTATATAAATATCCCAAAGGGCAATATAATGCTACTTCTCATCGCCAGATAGAGATGAGAGATAGATGAATCTCTATATATGGATCTCCCATCTACATACTGATATTATATATTACAACCTAATTTTTTGAAACATATATCATTAAAAAAAAACATATACGCCCAGGCAGCCAGGAACGTAACCTTTATTATTTCTTCTTTCCAATTAAACTTCGAAATATGTAGTAAGTGCAGCCTGTGTAGCCTTCTGCTTTTCTTCGAGAGCCTTGGATTTATCAACAGCCAAACAAACTCTGATGCAGTGATTGAGATCGCGATTCATTTTCATAAGAGAAGAATAATCATACTTTAAATCAAAAAACACACTGCTACAATCTTCAAGACTGGTTAATGCCGATGAGAGTTTTAAGTTCAAGCTACTGTACTTGTCTCCGCTACGGGCCAACTCCAAACTCTCCTTCAATCTGATACATACCATACCATAGATTATTACTCGATCAACATAATAATATAATATATAACAACATATGGTAACAATTAAATGAATTTGGATTGACCGCAGTCAAGATTGCCAAAGAAACAAACTTGTAATCACAAGATCAAGAGTTTGAATTTTTATCCCTTTTTGAGCCAATCAACTATGGGTAAACTAAGCTAGTTTACTTCTTTGTGATCCTTCACCACCTAAGATGGGTTTACCTAGGCCCAAAAGGGTTGTGGGGTTTTCCTCATTGCCGAGATGACTAAGGATACAGATGTGTAACTAGATCCTTTACCGATTAGGGTAAGGATACAGATGTGTAACTAGATCCTTTACCGATTAGGGTAAGGATACAGACTTATAATCACAAGGTCAAGAGTTCGAATCCCTTCGTTTGAGCCAATCGACTATGGGTAACCTAAACTAGTTACTTCTTTGTGATCCTTCACTACCTAGGATGGGTTTACCTAGGCCCAAAAGGGTTGTGGGGTTTTCCTCATTGTTGAGATGACTAAGGATACAGACGTGTAACCACATCCTTTACTGATTAAGGTAAGGATACAGACTTGTAATCACAAGGTCAAGAGTTCGAATTCTTACCCCCTTAGTTTGAGCCAATCAACTATGGATAAACTAAGCTAGTTTACTTCATTGTGATCCTTCACCACCTAGGATGGGTTTACCTCCCCGAAAGGGTCGTGGGATTATCCTCAATACCGAGATGACTGATGACTAAAGATACAAACTTGCAACCAGATCCTTCACCGATTACGGTAAGGATACAGATGTGTAACCAGATCCTTTATCGATTAGGATCACAAGGAAAGATTTATCAAATACACACTACTCTCAGGTAGTGGTTGCGATTTCCCTCATGACCCAAAAGAATTAAACCAATTCAAATTCAAGTGTGTGCCTATACATATATATATATATACCTTTCTCGGGTGTTACTGTAGGAGTGATGGCAGAGGCTATCAATGGTCTTTCCCAGAGTGGCCGACTTACTTCTATGGATCATAGCCCTGTAATCACTATTGGTGATTGAAGTTATGTGTTTCATAGCCTCTGATATGGCCATGCACATTGCCTGGTTCCAGTCCGCGGCTCCCTGCACCACTTTCTCGCAGAACTTTTTGTCATCTGCCGTAACGCAGTAGCTGCTACTGTTGTCTGCATTCGCATGGCTCGTGAAGGTTAGATACACGCCTAACCATGCCATAATAATGCATCTCTTCACCCCCACCATTTTCAGCCTTAATTATTAGCTTCTCAAAACCTGTTATTTTAATTTTGTTTTATTTGTTCTTGATTTTCAAGAATTCTGATCTGAAGTGAAAAACATATATGTGCCTGGCTGGCTGGGTACTGTTATAAAGAACAGAAATTTTAGGATGCTCTCACCATGCTATGTGGTTTGCCATTATTTTCTCATCTTTTCAGGCTTTGAAATTTTCAAAATGAACTCACAGTTAACCACAAAACGTACTTAATTAGTTTATGGTTAATATATATAAATATATAATATGATTATTAATACATGATGAATTATTGGAAATAATGGACATATCTACTACATCTCAAACTTATAAAGTTATTAATTTAACTAGTTACTGTAAAATTATAAGAACTTGATTTTTACGGCCATTATCTTCTTTTTTTTTTCTTTTTTTTTTTTTTTTTTTTTTGTACTTTTTATTATATAAAGTTTCTCAGGTTGTGATCCGTAGTTACCTAATGATTCCAATCTCAAAGTGGTAACCACCCCGGTGCCTGCATTGGCTAATCTTAGTGTGGCTGACTTACTAAACCCCATTTCTCATGATTGGAACCTGGAGCTTATTGAGGATATGATACGTCCTTAATTGTAATTATGTGGTTTAATTAGGAAGAGTTAGTTATGCTTTTAGAATTAGTAGGATAATTATGATGGTACAATTTAATTAGTGGGAGAATTAATATTGTGCCTAAATTAGCATAGGAAAATTATGTATCATTATCTTGTATAGTTAGTATATTTTTGGTAGGTTAATTATATTATTATAGGTATTAGTAAATTAGTATAAATAGGTTATTGTATATGAAAATGAGAAGTAGAGAAATATATTATTATTCAAGTCTTTTAATTATTCTTTCTTGGAGCTCTCAATGCTCGAAGTGTGAAACTAGAGTTTGTTGTGACCGAATACGATTAGGAGACAGAAGCCTGCTCGAAAGACTTCTTCCGTTGCGTACTAAATTTCAGTACGTATCATTGTTGCTTTCATTGAGTCTATCGGTGAGAGTATTCCCTATCTTTTTATTTTTATTTTTATTGTTTTTTTTTTTTGAAAACAAATAGTGAAAAAAATTAACCAAAAGAAAAAAAAAAACCGAAAAAGAAAGGAGAAAACGAAGTAAAAAAAAAGGAGAAAATTTGAAAAAGAAAACAAGAAAACAAGCGACAGAAAGGAAAAAAAAAATTTAAAAGAGAGTTTTTTTTTTTTTTTTTTTTTTTTTTTAATTATTATGGAAAGTATTAGTTACCGTGCTTATTGGTTTTTGTACACCAAGTATGATATCGATGATTTTGTATTGTATGAGATTTTTTAATTTTTACAAAAGGACCCGTGAAATATATTCATATTTTAAAGGATGATGGTCACACATTCCAAGCTTTGGTATGGTTTGATTCCATTATGGATTCAATCATAGCTAAACAAATATTTCATGGCCAAAACATTTATGATGATGAGTATTGCACTATATATGAATATAGAATTTCTTGAAGCAGAATTAATAATGGCTACATGCGGAGAAATAGATCATCAAACTTCCATTCTTCAGGTGGAAATTGATGCGGAAGTGATAATTGAAAAAGGGATTGGTGATAATGTGGTTGACATGAGTTCTTGTGAAATTGTTGATGATGACTATACTAATCAAGCCAATCAAGAAGAAATTCAAAATTTTATGGAGGAGGAGGTAGATCCTGCACCAAATACTATGGGGGAACACAACACGATTCGCATGGATTCACCCCAAATTGAACCACCAATCAACGATAAAGTAGGAACTACAATTGTGCATATTAAGTCTCCCCAATTGTTTCAAGAATCAATTTTCACATCATTATTGCCTTTGAAGGAAAATTTCATCCACTTTGCAATAGAAATATATGATTCCAAAATTGGTCCAAATCATGACACCACCAAAGATTTCTATTACAGAGCAATCCAGTGAACATGTTGTCTATGATGTCCACGTTTGGCAAATCAATCAACCAGTATCAAGGCATGGATATGCTCATTTCCATACCTACACCTTGAGGACAAGGTATTTTTTAAAGGGGTGGAGAGTGATATGTCCTTAATTGTAATTATGTGGTTTAATTAGGAAGAGTTAATAATTATGCTTCTAGAATTAGTAGGATAATTATGATGGTACAACTTAATTAGTGAGAGAGTTAATATTATGCCTAAATTAGCATAGGAAATTATGTATCATTACCTTGTATAGTTAGTATATTTTTGGTAGGTTAATTATAATATTATAGATATTAGTAAATTAGTATAAATAGGTTATTGTATATGATAGGAATATTTTTGTAAGTTTTGATGAGCCAAATGTACTTTAGATCCCCTTGGTTTTTAGGTCTTTTAGTACAAGCATCATAAATCAGAATATCGAGTCAAAAGGAATCTACCATAGGAAGAACAAAATTGATTTTGAAGAAATTAATTTTGGTCCTACAAGTATTCATCCGAGAAAGAAGCATAAAGGAATGGAGTTGCAAAGAATGATCGAATGAGCCTAATAGTGAAATGGTAGAAGTCTTTACTCAAAACGATCACACCGGAGATTGATTCCACCAAATGACTTATTTTTACAAGTCAAGTTTTCGGACAAGCAAAATGTCCAAAAGAGCATAATGTTCTTAAAAAGAGCACAATGCGGACAAGCACAATGCTGCTAAGGAGCACAATGTGTGCCAAGAAGCACGATGTGTGCTAAAAGAGCACGATGTGTGCTAAAAGAGCACGATGTGTGCTAAAAGAGCACGATGTGTGCTGACAAGCACAATGTATGCTGACAAGCACAATGTTCAAAAGGAGCACGATGTTCAAGTCAAAGGAGCACAATGTGGCAAAGAAGCAAGATAATCAGAAATTGGATAAATTCGAAGGAATTTATTCTAAGTCTACCCACATGCCACAAGAAGCCAAAATTGCCTGAAAGACATTTGATCAGAACAGAAAAATACCTATGAAGAAATGAATATAAAAACTTATCCTCGAAATAAATTCTATCAAATGAATTTATTTCAAAGATACGTTGGATATTCAATATGACAACAAAATAATATTTTGAACAAATCAATTGGAGATAAGATATTATCTTGTCAGGCAAGTTGACAATCAAATCAAAATTGAAGACCTACTAATGTCAACAATATCAGGCTATGAAGATTCAAATTTCAAATATCAAATTATCCCACTCCAACGGATATATTTGATTGCCTATAAAAAGCCATGAAGACTTGAAGACAAGCAGAGATAGAGGTGCAATACATACGGATAAACAAAGTGCAAAATTCAAAAGTGCAAGTGCTCAAATATTCTTAGAGACTAGGTCTGAATAGTCTCAAATCTAGTTGGTGAGAGATACAATTACCTTTGTATTTGTAATTGTAAAAATAGTATAGCTGTTTGCAAAATACTCTAGTGAGTGTTGCCGTGTGCAAAACACTCGTAGTTGCTAAGTGTAGCTGTGTGCAAGACACTTAGTTGGCGTTGAGTATAGCTGTGTGCGAGACACTCGGAGTTGAGTGTAGCTGTGTGCGAGACACTCGGAGTTGAGTGTAGCTGTGTGCGAGACACTCGGAGTTAGGTGTAGCTGTGTGCAAAACATTCGGAAGAAGTGCTTGTGTAGCGCTTATTCACTATTGTAACTGTGTGTGGAAAATAGTGAATTTCTCCTATACGCGAAAGGAGAAAAGTGGACTAGGAAGATTACGCCACTTCCGAACCACTATAAATTGCCTCTCTCATTTACATACTGCACTTACATAATTTGCTCTATCTATCTATCTTATCCGACTAACCCGTTTACTATTCACAGTCAATCTTAATCGTTCGGGTTTAATGTGTTTTCACGTATGCATGTGACTCAAACTTTACGAGCATAAATATTGAATTATTGTAAGCAAGTTTGACGTGTTGCATGTAACATTCGTTACACGGTCGACGTGATATGATATTTATTTACAATCTTGAATATTGTTATTATATATTGAGTGAACCATCTCCTTTATATATTCAAGATATCTCTGTCACTTTACATATCATCTGTACCTATTTTACATGCGTATTCAAATTATTGATTGGGCATAACTCTTTACATACTACCTATTCCGCTGTGCAGTTTAAACATACTCTATTTACTTGTTACTTAGTGTTGAAGTTACCAAAGAGTTATTTATTTTGAAAAAGCTTGAAAGTCTATTCACCCCCCCCCCCCTCTAGACTTTCACCACCCTATCGGGACCAACAATTGGTATCAGAGCGGTTGTCTATTTGAGTCAATTTTGACTGCTAGACAGATCTCGAAAAATCAAGATGATGAAAAGAGATATGACTCTTGCCCAAAACCTATTGTTTTCCTTAGAGAAATTTGATGATTGGAAAATTCGCATGCAGGTGCATCTATCCGCGTTACATGATGAAATGTGGGAAGTGGTTACGAGTGGTCCTATTGAGATCTTGCAAGTCAACTCCTCATCCGTACAAACAAGTGACACTCCACAATACATTCTAAAACCAAAAGAGGAATGGTCTCGTGAAGATAGAACAAGAAATAACTTGGACAATATTGCCAAGGATATTTTGTTTAAATCTATCGATGACACGATATTTCCAAAAGTTTGAAAGTGTCAATCCGCGAAGGAAGTTTGGGAAACACTCATTCAAATTGGTGAAGGAGACGAGCAAGAAAAAGATAATAAGCTCACCATAGCATTAAAGAAATTCGAGGATTTCAAAATGCTAAACGGCGAGAATGTTACTGACATGGAAACAAGATTTGCCAAAATCTTAGGAGAGATTAATGATCTTGAAAAAGATATTAATCAAAAAGAAATTTCACTCAAAATTCTACGTGGTCTACCATCTACATGGGACATGAAGGTCACGGCCATGAGAGATCATAGGGATCTAAAAACCCTATCGACCGATAAACTCTTTTGGTGATCTAAAAGCTTATGAATTCGAGATGAAATCAAGATTAGAGGAAGATCATGAAGAAAAGAACAACGCACTTATAGCCGAGCAACCATCAA